TGGTCTGGAGATCGGCTCAGTGGTGGAATGCGTGCTCAAGGATTTAAAAAAAAAAAGTCAATGGTGCAGCTGGTTACATGGGCTTGTCTTTTGATTATTGTTCTGAACTTGTGATTTTGACCAAGGCACAGAGGTGATTAAAGAAATAGATGGTGTTGATTTAATTTAAGGTCTCGATGCCACAGGACACACATCTTCCTCCCTTGTAAATGTAAATTTTTTTTGTTTGTTTCTTTGGCTGTACTGGGGATGGAACCTGGGGTCTGGGCATGCCAGGCTGTACTCTGAGCTACACTTTAGCCCTAAACAATGTTTCCCACCTTTGAAGTGGGAGAGTAAGAAAACACCTAGTAACTTCAGTTCAAGCAGAGGAGGGCATGCATAAGACAGAATGTGAGGTGAGAGCTGTCAATCAATGTAAACTATTCTCTCTAACCCATTAGTTATATAAGCTTTCCATTTGCCTTTTGTAAAGTCTTTTTAAAAAGACAAAAACAATCTTTTTTGAAATGTTTCTAGAAGCTTCTGCTCATCAATAGGCATCCCTGGGTGAGCAGAATTTTGGAGCCTACCTTTTTAAATATATGTTTAAATTTTGGCATTGGGGATCAAACCTAGGGCCTCACGCATGCTAGGCAAGTGCTCTCCCACTGAGCTACACCCCAGCCCTTTATTTTATTTGTAGGCAGGATCTTGCCAAGTTGCCCAGACTGGCCTTGAACTTTCGATTCTCCTGACTCAGCCTCCTGAGTAGCTGTCATCACAGGCGTGTGCCACCACACCAGTCCGTGGCTCGAAGATCCCCTCGACCAGCTTGGCCCATGGTCCTGCTTCTGTCCCACCCAGCCTCACACCTGAGGCCTTTCTGCAGGACCCTGTCCTGCTTCCGTCAGGACTTCCACTCTTGCCAATGGCTCACCAGCCAAGGCAAATCCCAAATGGTCACATTCTCTCTCTCGACACAAACTAACTCTGGACTCAAAAGCCATTCTTTGACTGGGGACTCATTGTGGAAAGGGCAGAGTCCGTCCTGAGAGATGCTTATGGCTGACTCCTGGGGTTCCCAAAGGGTTGGTGGCACCCTTCTCAGTTCCTCGAGTGTCGTGTTTCTCACAACTAAAACTCTCAGGGTCACTCCAGGGGAACTGGGCACAAGAGACAGAGATACCTTTTTCTTTGGGTCCTGTGACGGCTCCTCTGACCTTAGGGATCCGTGGAAAGAGGGAGCAAGTGCTGAACCCTTTTATTGAAGCCACTCAGAAGAGGTGGGGGGGGTGTCAGGTTTCAGGGGCTGAGTCTAGCCTCATGATGTCTGCTGTCGGCAGGTTGACTGACACCTAGGAAGGCCACACCCAAAGGCAGAGCAAGACAAGGAGCACACAAAGGGCGTTTCCATGGAACATTCTATCCCCAGCAAGGCACAGGGGTAGGATTACTAAAGAACAGGTGAGTGCAGCTCACCCCAGGGTCTGCTGCTCAGGAGCCTTGGCCTTGCTGTTCCAGCAGGAAAAGAGTCTCGAGGCGCCAGACTGCAGTTGTCTTTCAGATCTGCGAGGGGCATCAGGGCTGGAGGGCGGGTAACTCAATGTGGCTGCCCACACTCGAGGGTCTCAAACTTGCCAGCTGTGTCTTTGGGGTTCTATGTTTGGGCACTGAACTATGAAAAGACAAAATCGCTACACGTGGGAAGATCCTGAGCAGCTTTTACCCCCAATTCTAGAATTGGGCGGCTTCAGAACCAGAGCGGGTTCAGGGACCCCCGGGGCGGAGACATGGTCAGGCAACACTATGGACAGGAACTGGAAGCCACGTCCACAGACAGCTGGTTGCTCACAGCTCAGTGTTTCGCCTTTTTTGAGTCGGCTGGCTGCCTGCGATTGCCTGGGGAGGACTGGGCCCAGCCACGAGGACCGTCGGGTCCTGTATCACTGGACTCCAGTAGGGAGGCGCCCTCAGGCCCCCAAGTCACTGAATTCAACGCCCTCTTCTCTTCCTCACGCCCACCTCTCCTCCCCCCTCCTCACCTCTCTGTGGCCCCTCTCAGTTATGCCCCCATCACTCAAGGCTTCTAGGGACCCAGTGGCACTGAGCCACTCTTTCCCGTCAGCTTGTGTCCTAGGTTTGCCACCGTGGTGTGGCTCCCTGGGTCACGACCAACCCTGAAGAATCGCCAAGGCTAGGAGGAGAGGCTCCCGATTGGCTCACCTGGGGTCACGTGTCCTCCCTTTGGGTAGAAGAGGTCAGTTTTCCTTCCGTCGTGTTGATTAAGTCCCTCCACCAAGGATGAGGGGTTCTATTATCAAAGGAAAGGGCAAGAGATGCTCAGCTGACAAAGACTTCCCATGGCCTCTGTGCCATCTTTGTCACACTGGGCCGGCTGCTCTGGGCAGCTTTTCCCTGTGCTTCATGTTATGAGAACAACAGGTAATGAATGAGCTGGAGAAAAT